TTAAAATAAAATTTAAGCCCCATGGGTTGGGCATAGAGATCACTTAAAAACAAGAAAATAAAAGAAACCTGGGACTTACAGGCTTGTCTCTTGTCTTGCCCTTATCATTGCTCAAGGATTATTTGTGGTAGTTCCTTGATAACATCACAAATTTAAAAGTGATTATTGTCATGATCATCATAGATTGATATTCAACCCACCTTGGGAATATGACAGGGCTAGGCCCCTGGCGTTGTCTATCTTGGGTTATCTGTGGACCCAGGTCCAAAAATCAAAATCTTGAGGTGAGGCCAGAGGTCAGTTCATGTATGACCAGTTCAAGAGCACCGAGCCAAGAGGGAAGAGATGAACTGCAGTGCTGTGGTTCAGCAATGGACATGTTAGTCCCGGAAGCAGACCCAGAGCAAGAAAAGAAGGAATGAGGTCTGAGCACGTGGTGCTGTGGGGTTGGCTCAGGTGAACCTTAGCAGAAGTGGATTCTCAGAGCACGGGCATCCCTTTCATTGTTTTCATGCCACCTGATGATTGGATATGAAGCTTTCACATGGGAGGCTCTCAGCGAACAGCTGTCCTTGTCACCATTGTCATGGGGTTGTCCCTCTTATACTGAGACTCGGTTATCTGGAACTAGAGATATGAATACACATGAAATATTATTTACTTGTATTCATGTATCTTGAGCTTCAATTTCTCTAGTAACTAAGTGTATATTAAGTATTATTTTCCTTAGTAGAAAAGATGGAAGTCAGGGTTTATATCCTGAGAATCTTAATTCTGAAAAGTCCCTTATTTCCTAGATGGCGGTCTCAGAGCTAGTTAGTACTTGTTTTATTTTACTGTGTTGAAATACCGCTTTCTCTTGGCCTATGTGACACTCAACTCTCCTTGGTTTTCCTTAGATTCCCCTCCTACTCCTTCCCTGCTGGCTCACCGTCTTCGACCTGGCACTTACGTACATGCTAGAGTTCTGGAAGGCTCAGTCCGTTCCCCTCCTCTTTTCTCGCTGCATTCTTTGTCCCTAATCAGAGATCTCATCTTTGCACATCAGTGATCATATTTGTGCAGGTTTCAGGTACCGTCTTTATGTTAACCGATCTCAAATTTTCCTCTGTGCCTCTCCTCTGAGCACCGGCCCTGTATGTCTATTTGCTTAGCATCTCTGATTGTCTTGCAGGCACCTTAAGTTCACGATGCTATCTTCTCCTCACACCGAGGTTTCTGTGTTCCAGAACTCAGAATCATAGTACCTTCTATCACTTGCCTAAGCTGAAAAAGCCTGGGAATCATCCTTGGAACTTGTCTTTTCCTTACTTCACATATCCAATTCATTATCAAACGCTGTTATTTTATCTCCTAAATAGTTCTTTGCTTTTCTTCCTGTCTACTCTCCTCCCGCTACCCAAAGACATCATCCCTACTTGTGGACCGCGATCAGTCTTCCTGTATCTGCTTTTGCTCCCCTTAGTATACATATCCCCCAGGTGGTCATCATTTGCTGCTTAAAATCATCCAGTGTTCTCATGAGAAAAAGAAAAAAAGTTCTCAACGTGGCTATAGACTTCCCCAGTTTGCTTTTTCTTTAACCTTCCCAGCCTCATCTAACACCACCCTCCTTACTAGAGACCAGGGTGGGAGAGCCACAGATTCCCATCCCCTGAAGTTGCCACATGCATCCCCAACACAGTCTTCACACATGCTGTTTCCTCAACATAGGACACCTCCCCCCTCATGCCCTTCCCCGGCTAGCTACATACGATCTAATCATCTGAAAGCTCACTTCTCACCTTATTTGTTCACGGGCGTCCTGACGTCCCCATGCTCTCAGAGCACTCACGTCCCACCTCCCCGACAGCTGTTTTCTGTGCTTCCCAATTAAACTAAGTACTTACACTTGAGTCCTTGGATCAGCGTCTACTTCTTATGAACCTCAAACCAAGATATGCAATAAATCTCACAGTGTGTCTCAGAGTGTGGTGCCTGGCCTCGCGGTCTCAACATTATCTGGAAATCTGTTAGAAAAGCAAATTCTTTTTTGGAATACAATTTTTTTTAAAGTTTATTTATTTATTTTGAGAGAGAGAGAGATAGCGTGAGTAGGGGAGGGACAGAGAGAGAGAATCCCAAGCAAGCTCCACGCCGTCAACACAGAACCCAATGCAGGGCGCTTGAACCCACGAACCATGAGATCATGACCTGAGCTGAAACCAAGAGTCAGACGCTTAACCAACTGAGCCACCCAGGCTCCCTAGAAAAGCAAAGTTTTAACCCAGACTTCTGATATAGTAGCTCTGAAGTTGGGGTTAGCAATCTGTGTCTTAACAAAGCCTTGAGGTGATTCCCATGCACCTCAAAGTATAGAACCACTGGAGTAAGTGATACTTTGTGTCCCAAACAGAAAACCCATCTCTTTCCCCCTTGTTCCAAATATATCTCTAAAAAGTTAAAAAAAAAAAAAAGGGGGGGGGGTGCCTGGGTGGCTCAGTCAGTTAAACATCTGACTCCTGATTTTAGTTCAGATCGTGATCTCATGGTTTCAGAGTTCAACCCTGGCATTGGGCTCCGTGCACTGACCCTGCGGAGTCAGTGCTGGGGATTCTCTCTCTCTCCCTCTCTCTGTCCCTCCCCAACTAGCACTCTTTCTGTCTCTCTCAAAATAAATAAATAACTTAAAAAAAATAAAAATAAAAAGTTAAAAAATATAATATTCAGAATTTTTAAAAGAATCTTAGCTATTTGGGGGCACTAACCATCTTGAAATGATTCTTAAGAGTTTTAGACCATCACTGCTTTTTATTCTTCTATACATTCCATATACAAGACTGATCCCATTAAAAAAAATTGATGTTATTCAGACATGCAGTTACTTTGATTTCTTTAACTATTTCTCACTTTCCTTTCTTACTGAGATCGGTTTATGATAACATTATTAAAATTTCCTTTCTAATACCTTTTTTGTTTTTAATGTCTTTGGTCTGGGGATCATGCTACCTTTATCTGAACTCTTGAAATCTGATTCTGTCCCCCACTAATTCATGAGTAGTTTTCCTTTAAAGATTTTTTCCCAATCTATTAACACATTCCATTCAAAGTTCTTTTCAGTTGTACCTTGATAATTTGACAATCTGCCTTTTTTTAGGAGATATTTATTCCCAACAATGTTACATATTTTCACTGTCTTCCAATATTGAATCTCTAACTGAATCTCTGTTCATATCTTGTGCTTCTGTAATGAAGCCAGACACTTGCGAGTTTAGCTTCTCTGGTCCAAATATTAGTGAAGTTTTGAACACAGGAAGATTAATTTCATCAACTTTCTTCCACTATAAAAATGGTGGCAGACCGTTTTCTTGTCCATAGGAATGCAAGAACATAAGGAGAAATATTTGATAATCTTAGAATTTGAGTGTTATTTTTGAAAACTATAAATTGTGTGTACTGTTTTGTTCTTTTGTTCTTTGGTATTTACCAATTTCTGCACACTATAAAAATAATAAATTCCTTAGCATGGAAATCAATGCAATTTTCCACTAGTCTCCATTACACAATCTACAACCTGGTTTAAGTTAACTGTTTGAAATTCTCCCCAAATACTCTTCACTTAGTCTCTTTTCTTTTTTCTTTATAGTACCTCTCCTTTAAGTTTTTTTTTTTTTTTACATTTATTTATTTTTGAGAGACAGAGAGAGAGCGCGAGTGAAGGAGGGACAGAGACAGAAGGAGACACAGAATCTGAAGCAGGCTCCAAGCTCTGAGCAAGCTGTCAGCACAGAGCCCGAGGCGGGGCTTGAACCCATAAACCATGAGATCATGACCTGAGCCGAAGTTGGATGCTCAACCGACTGAGCCACCCAAGTGCCCCTATAGTATCTCTCCTTTAAATTCTTTTCCCATACCTCATTTCGAAATTTGATTCATTCATAGCTCAACAATATAAATTAAATGACTAACCTAGATATGTTCTAGTGCTTACGATGTATCAATGAAAAAAACAAAAATCTCTGCCTTCATGAACCTTATATTCTGCTTGATCTTTAGGCAGAATTTATTACTCAATAACAATTTATTTATACCTCTAATAGAACATTACAATTAATTTGTATTAAGTCTCTTTCCCAACTAGACCAGTTGTTTTAAACACTGCCTGCTCACTAGGACCACCTGGGACCTTTGGAAAAACAATCATACTCAGATTCCATCTCCAGAGGTTTTTATTTATTTGGTTTGGCGGGGGAAGGTGGGGGGAGGCCCACATGATTCTAATATACAGCCGGGGGTTGAGAACTAACCACTGCACCAGAAGAGACTATGAAGTTTTTGAGGGTATGATAATGTTGCTCATTTGGTATTGCCCAACCTAACACACAGTGGGCAATCAACATGTGTTTGTTGAACTGTTTTGTGGCAGTAAGGAGAAATAGCACCGCTCTCCCTTCACTGAGGGACTACGATGTTGAGATAATAGTCTCTAAGGGGACTTGAAGGAATTGGATTCATTTTAGGTAATGATTACGATGCATAATCAATAAAAATTAACAGGCAATATCCAGCTCTTCCTGTAAGTGGCCTGAGGTCATCTCTGGAAATGGTTTGCTACTCACTTGACCAGAAGACCCTGCAAAATGATTCAAATCAAGAGGTTCAAGTCTTCGTGTTCACCTTGAGAACACACATGAAGCTGTCCAGGCCATCAAGGGTATGCATATCTGAAAAGCCACCAAGTATCCAAAGGATGTCACTTTACAGAAGCACTGTGTGTCATTCCATCACTACAACGGTAGAGTTGGTACGTGTGCCCAGGCAAACAGTGGGGCTGGACACGGGGGTCGGTGGCCCAAAAAGAGTGTAGAATTTTTACTGCAGGTGCTTAAAAATGCAGAGAGTAATGCTGAACTTAAGGGTTTAGATGTAGATTCTGTGGTCATTGAGCACATCCAGGTGACAAAGCCCCTACGATGAGACGTAGAACTTACAGGGCTGGCTCCTGGTCAGATTAACCCTACATGAGCTCTCCGTGCCACAGTGAGATGATGCTTGCTGAAGAAGGGCAGATTGTTCCTAAACCAGAAGAAGAAGTTGCACAAAAGAAAAAGATATCCCAGTGGCGCACGGGTGGTTCAGTCAGTTAAATGTTCGACTCAATTTCAGCTCAGGTCATGATCTCACAGTTTGTGGGTTTGAGCCCAGCATTGGGCTCTGCAGTGATGTGGAACCTGCTTGGGATTCTCTCTTCCTCTCTCTCTGCCCCATACCCCACTTGTGCTTGCTCTCTCTCTCACAGAATAAATAAACTTAAAAAATTTTTTTTGAAAACCTGTTATATAAAAAAAAAAAAATACCCAGAAGAAACTGCCTGTCCCCAACTCGTGCACACACACACTCTCTCAAAATAAATAAATAAACATTAAAGTAAAATAAAGATTACATGGCAACTGGGGATAGAGGAGAACTCTAATTATGTGTAGACTCCAAAAAAAATGTGCAACCTTGCCATGATTTTAAGCTTTGGGGACAGTTATCCTGAAGGATATAAAGTGTTGTGATACATTTTCATGATTCTGTGACAGGAAAACTGGCAGCTCTGGGGGAAGGAAGCACGCATTTCTACTTTTTATCTGTCACCTAAGTAACGTCTTGTTCCTAAATACCAGGTGGAGTTAGCTGTAGCGACGAACATGCAGAAGGTAAGAGGAATGGCGTCTAATTAAGGGTGTAGGCAAGCGGCACACTGAACAGGTCGGCTAAAGCACATCCACTTAATAGCCACAAGGTGGCAGCCTAGAACTAGGACATGACGGCTGAAAGGTTCGAAGACCGAACACCTTGAACACTCTCCAGAGCGGAGAATGGAGAGCAGGTCTATTGAGGCAATCCAAAAGGAAAAGAAAGAAAGAGATTGTAGTACTTACAGCATTCATCTTTAGAATTGTGTGTCCCCTAGAATAAAAGCCAGACACACACACACACACACGCACACACACACACACCCAAACACGGCAAAATCTCATCGAATGCACGCTTAACTTGCCTCGCTCGCTGAGATTCTTTTATTTATTTATTTTATTATTATTTTTAAGTTTACATCCAAGTTAGCTAGCATACAGTGCAACAATGACTTCAGGAGTAGATTCCTTAATG